GGATGTTTTCAACAGGGATATTCCCAGAGCAAAAGTGATCAGTGTTGGAAGCAGCAGCATTTTTCAGGTGTCTGACATATTGAAAAAAATCACAGAGTTACCCTAAGAGCATTTTCACTCCATGTAATCAGTTTATATTTCGTAGTGAAGACTGATTAAACAAAGAAATGCTCAATGCCTACATTCTAGTTCATTTATCCTGGTTCCTTATCCTGATCCTGTTCCTTATCCCATGTGGACGGGCACCTATGTGGTTCCCCACTGCAGCCAATGGGGCTGCAGGTAGGTGTAGAGGTCCTCCTGTGCAGAATACATCTGCTGGAGCAGGCCATAATTCTTAAGATTTAAGTGAGCTGAGCAACTGTTTTTCTAGAGAGTGAGCTGGGTTGAGCCCTGCTCAGGTGCACTGTGCATGCTGGGGAAGTGGGCACACGGGCTGGACAGGATTGCTGTCCTTGTAATTCAGGACACAACTGCAGTCCTAGTCACACAAATGTTGATGTGGGCAGAGGCTGCTTTGGAGGATTTAGGAAAGGGTCAGAGTCATGACTCTTTCCCCCACATCAGCCAGCAGAAAGGGTTCTAAGGAGCACAAGCTGCACCCTGTTCAAAGGTAGCTCAATGACTATAGTTCTCCTGTGGTCCTGCATCAATTGTGCCTGCTGGAACATAATGGCCCCAAGAATCTCCTGCTGAGCCACTACCCTTTAAACAGGCTGGGCCAAAAAGTGACAATTGGGCCCTTAAGATCCGGGGATTGATGGTTAACGTAGTGGATTTCTCCCTTTTTGCTAAATACACAGTTACAGAAAAATATCAGAAGAGATCAAAGGTTTGATTTGTTCAGAAAGGCACTGCACTAAAAGCCAGCTGATAAACTCGGTGTATTTTAGTAATTGGCAGCCAAGAAATTAACATACCAGAATTTGCTTCTACTGTACATACATTTCACCCAAGCATGAAAAGGGTTAACTAAGCACTGACAAGTTTCTCTGAAACGATTAAAATCAAACCTAGAAGTACACCATCTGTTAATAAGCAAGAGATGCATTACTCAAATTCATTTAATACAATGCCACCTGCTATATTAAATTTCAACCTCATATATTGTAGAAGTATTCAGACAGTCACATAATATTCCATAAATAATATTTTAAAATAAACTCAAAATATAAAGTTTGCTACATGCTGAATGCAACTTAATCATTAAAGGACAGAATTAAAAGTAACAGCATTGATGATATCCAGTCACTTACTCTGTAATTTCTGGTGCTCTACAGAAGCATTACAGGAATGCTTTAATAAGAGTTCAACCCTCCATTTATATGGTATGCATTGAGTAACATGACATCCGGTTTATCAGCCATATCACATTCCAGTAAACAGGAGTTTTAGTTTTGCTAAGGAACATTTCAACATTCTAGTTTATCTTGAAACGTTGGCGATAGTGAAGGCTAGGTACAAGAAAGGGATTTCCCACAAATGCAAACCAAAGGGAAGTTGGAACAGATCTGGCCTAAGAGACTGCAGGACATGATCCAAGCCCATACACTAATCTGACCTCTCTTATATTTGGCAATCATGGAAAAAGTGGGTGCAGTTTATAGCTCACAGTTTAAGCCTGTGCAAACTGCACATGCTGGGCATGATCAAAAGGCCAAGGAAATTGACAGGCTGTGGATCAGGGTCATACAGGGGATAACCTGGATCTCACTAAATTTAGCAGTGTGACAGGGGGCCTCTACTCACTGTGGGATGGCACCACCTCCTGACTGTTGTGGGGATTAGCTCTGTGCAGCCAATGCCCCTTCAATCTCTTTCTGCTCTGTGGCCCCCCTCTTGCTCCAGGAACTGCAGCATCCTCTTCATGACTTGGCCCTCTGTCCAGGTCACTCTGTGCTTTCCCCTTCTGGGGCAGATGTGCATCAAATTTCCTGTTCATTAGCAGTCTCAGGAACTCCCCCCATTCACTGACCCAGGTGCCACTCCTTCAGTGGCTGGCAGGGGAGCCTGGGCAGTAGCACAGCTGAGGGGGAGCGGCCACTCCCACTGAGCAGAAAAGTGGCGTCTTTTTAATTTTTACTGACCCGGGTCTTCGGTAGCACTTTTACTCACCTGGCGGCGCTCTGGGTCTTTGGCAGCACTTCGGTGGCGGGTCCTTCAGCTGCTCCGGGACAATCAGGGTTTTTCTTTTTTTCTTTTTTCTTTTTTCTTCGCGGAAGGTGGCACCTTTTTTTGTGTGTTCGCTCCCCCTGCTGCTAAAACCTGGCTTCGCCACTGAACCTGGGCCCACCCTCTACTCTGGGTTCTGGCTCAGGGACCTGCTACACAGCAGCCAAGGCCTATTCCTTCCTGTGCCTTGCTGCCTTTCCCTAAGCCCCTTTTTGCTCTGAGTTCTGGGGTTTTATAAAGGCCCCTCCTCTTCCTTCACAGGTCAGCTTTCTCCCAGTTAGCTCCTTCTTTGGCTGCTTAACTGGCTGATTGGGCCCACCTGACCTAATTCACCCTTGTCAGGGTCAGTGCAGGGAGTACACCCGTCACAAGCAGTAAAGGCAACATCTAAAATTTACACAGAAAGGAAAGGATCTAAATATTCTCTGCAATATACTGAGCTCAAATAGCCTTCTTTTCAATAAATGGTATATATCAGAGCTCTTCTCGAACCAAGCATTTTTGTCTCTAGCAAATGGACACTATGCAAGCAATTTTCCACTGCACATTTTCAAGAAGTAATGCCCTCCTTATTTCTGGGGATGTCCCAGTTGGTTGAGAAGATATAAAAACTCTCTGGACCCTTCAGCCATTTCTGGAATCAAACATGAAAAAATAGCTTTATTAAAGTTCTGAAAGGTTTGGATAGGACTTTATTATTTCTGGGCAGGGCTACAATCGGAAGTGTCACACTAATATAAGAATGCCATCCCTATGTGCTGATGCTCATGGGGAGAAGTGCCACTCTGCAGACCCAAGAGGTGTGG